TCCCATGGAATTGGTATTAGGCAAAAAGTTCAAATTAGAAGTATGGGAAGTTATAGTACAAAAAATGGCCTTAAATGAGGTGGCAAAGTTTACGGTGAACAAAAAGGTAGAGGAAACAAGTGTCGAAAAGGAAATTTTGAAAGATATTTTAATAATTGTCTATCATTGCAGTTAGTTTCTCAATATCCTTTTATTGCCAAAACCTTAAGAGATGTAGGCAAAAAAGTGGAAGAGCGCCGTCACTGCTGTGGCATGACTTTACAAAATGAAGGCTTGGGTTATAAAGATCTAGATGATTTACTCTCAAGTCCTTGTGATTTGGAATTTATTATCGATTTATTTAGTATAGAGAAACCAGAAGACTATAAAAAGGATACTTGGCAAATGAGCGATGAAGAAAAGCTAAAAACCTCTCTCAAACTTAAAGATGAGGGTAATGAATTCTATAAACAAAAACAATTTACCCAAGCAGAAGAGTGTTATCGTACCGCAGTGGGTTTATTAGAACAATTAATGTTGAAGTAAGTTAAACAAATATTCAAATTAAATCACATTTATCTACCTCTACAAAAAATAATTATTTTTTCAGAGAAAAACCCCATGATGTAGAGTGGAACGATTTGGCTAAACTTAAAGTTCCTGTTTTACTAAACTATGCTCAGTGTCGTCTTTTAGCACAAGACTATTATGCCGTCATCGAACATTGCAACGATGTTTTACAATTAGATCCCGATAATGTTAAGGCATTATTTCGTAGAGCCAAAGCTCACGTTGGTGCTTGGAATCCTCAAGAAGCTCGTGATGATTTCCTAAGAGCTGCTAAGTTAGATTCTTCGCTACAAACAACAGTTCATAAAGAATTAAAAGCCATCGATAGGATACAACATGAACGTGATCTAGAGGATAAAAAGCGTTTACAGGCACTTTTTTAGTGACTAAGTGGTATTTTTAGACTGGACGTAAAAATGGATAAAATATTGTGTATTTTTAATTGTTGTGACTAGTCCAATGTAATAACTTGCATTATAATCTTATAACAAAAAATCGTAAAAATTATAGATTTTATAATAAAGTATAATCGTACAAACTAAAGTAAATTCTTTATATTTTTCTTTACCCCAAAATTTTATTTTTTGATTAATATTCTTCTAATAGAAATAGTTCAATGTATTTAGTTTTTATAGAATATTTTTGACAAATTTTCTTTTCATAGAATATTTTCGACAAATTTCCTTTTTATAGAAAATTTTCGACAAATTTTCTTTTTATAAAGATTTTAAACAAAATTTAGTTTTATAAAAAATATTTGATAATTTTTTTTTACAATATCTTCCATTTGAAATTTTTCGAAAAAATCTGAATTTTATAGACAATTTTCGAAAAATTCTTTTTATATAAAATTACTATTTTTTAAAGAAAATTAAAAAAAAAAATGTTTTTTTTATGCATATTTCAAAAAATTCACTTTCTTATAAATTTTCGAAAAAAAATTCTTATAGAAAGAATATCTTTTTTATAGAACTAAAAAAATATTCCCGAAATGAATTTATTTAGTTTGATAAAGTATATATAGTTTATATTTGTATTACTTTGTTTTTAACAATTAATTTAGAGAGAGTGGTGGAAGATTTTTAAATAAATAATAATTTAAACAATAATTTACAAAAACTTAAAATTACTAAAAACTTTAATTAGAAATTCCATGCGAATTTATTCTCTTCAACTACAATCTTCTTAAACGCATTGAACCAGCAGCAGCTGCTGCTGCACCTTCAGCTTCACCACGCAATTTATTATCATCAGTACGCCAAACAAATGGTTCCAAACGATCTTCGACATCTAGAAAATTATTAATTGCCTCCAGACTGGCTAGATTATCGTTAAGTAGAGAATTGCAACGACTCAGTTGCTGGGATATCAAGCGCACTTTATTAAATTGCTCCGCATAGGCAGCATATGACTTTTGCATATCAACAAATGAAGCAAATAGTGTTGTTATAGAATTGCTTACGACCTTGGTGCGTTCCACCAGATGTGATTGTTCCTGGGCCACTTGTGTAGCACACATATTTAAATGTGTTTGCATGCGATTGCAAATATTTAGCAAATGCGGCTGTATTTGTAAACGTTCCAAACATTCAGCGTCTTTGGTAAATGTGGCCGAATAGACAGAATCCCTTAGAACGGGTAAAAATTGTGGTATACTTTGTAGTTGTTGCAATTCACTTTCGATTTCCTCATTGGCATCTTTAATGCCTGGCTTAACTATGACTATACTATGACTACCCACTGTAGATTGGGGTCTTTTGGGTTTTGCTGCTGTTTGAGGACGCCTTAAGACTAGAGAATTACGCTGTGTTGATGAACCAGTTAAACTATTCGCCGATTTCCCTCTTATTTTGGGTGAGTCACCTATGGGCCGATCAGTGGTATAGGAAACATAGGGCAAATCCGAACATACGCTCAAGGGAGGTGATGAGGGCCTACTCATTTCTGAGGTAGTGGGCGATGGCATTGGATCATTGCTGTGTTTTAATTTATTTGTTGTTGTATTTGTACTACTGTTAGGAGCTGTTGACTGTCTAAGCATAGTACGTTTTTTTATGGCTCCAGTAGCTGTAGCAGCAGATCTATGGCTAGAGCTTGCGGAATTTATATGATTGCCTTGTGGACCAAGGCTTGAATCAAATATTTCTCGTCCATCTGCCTCGGCTCTTTGTTGGGAATGTTCAGCACCCATTTTTCTGTAGTATTATTTACTCAATATGAATTTCTTATCGATTTTTTCTTTAACTTTTGTTTGAAGACAATATTTTCGTATTTCTTTTCTATCAGTTTATTTTTCAGTATTCTTTTTTTCTATCATTCTTTGTAAACAAAATTTATCTGCTTTTTTTATATTTTTATTATAAATATATTATGTTTTTATATATTTTTTTAATTTAAATAAAAACAAGAAATAATTTGCACTAGTTTTTTGTTGGTAAAATTTTCAAGTGCAATTTATAAAACGAATAACGTAATCAAAACAAAAATAATGATTATCTGTTACAGAAACACTTGGAATTGATATTTTAACCAGGTTGCCAGTATAAAATTAATTTTATTTTATCGTAAGAAAGTATGGTAACTTCAAACAATATTGTCACAGAAAATAATACATTCTAGGAGTTCTAATCACAGATTAACATTATTATATACTTACATACATACTTTCTGTAATATTTATTTAATTTCTACATTTTATATAGGTATTATTTGAAAATAACTACATTTTTAAAATCGATTAAGCAGTTCTTGAGATATTAAACTTTAATTTATTTATTCAATTATGTTAAAAATTAGCCATAATAGGATCCAATTACGCTATGTTTATATGAAAAAAATGTTTATAAAAAAATGAGGCCATTTAGAATTGTCTTTTTTTGGTTTTTTAGCTCTCAGCTTCCTCATTTCATTTAAAAACAACTGTGACTACTTTAAATTATACAAAATACGCTTTTTATACAACCTTTCAAAAAAGTTCAAGTGTTTGACATTTACACATTAAATTCATTCATACGTCGTTCAATAGTATACAAAATTTGGCGGGAAAAATAATTTGCAAAATAAGCATTTTGCATTTCGCTAAACAAATTGTAAAGTACATAATCTAAAGGTACAACACCCAGAATAAAATATGTCTCAAGTTGCAGAAAACTCGCTATTGAAAGAAAATGGAAATTTAAAAGATGTAGCAAAAGCGAATGGAAATAATGATATTAAGGAGGAGGATGAAAATAAAGGCGAGCAACAATATTTGGATTTGATAGCTCAAATTATTGAAAAAGGTTTGTTTTGAGTTCCAGGAAATGCTACATATTTTATTAATTTTTAATTGATTTCCTCTAGGTGTTGATCGTGGCGATCGCACTGGAGTGGGTACTGTATCCATTTTTGGTGCCCAAATGCGTTTCGATATGCGCAACTCTTTTCCTTTGTTAACCACCAAGCGAGTATTTTGGCGTGCGGTGGCTGAAGAACTTTTGTGGTTTGTACATGGTTGCACCGATGCCAAAATATTGCAAGAGAAGAACATACATATTTGGGATGGTAATAGCGATCGTAAATTCTTGGATAAATTAGGTTTTACCGATCGCGAAGAGGGTGATTTGGGTCCTGTGTATGGTTTCCAATGGCGTCATTTTGGTGCCAAATATCGCACTTGCCACGATGATTACTCCAATGAGGGTGTGGATCAGTTAAAGGAGGTCATCAATACTATACGTACTAATCCAAATGATCGACGTATTATAATGTCAGCCTGGAATCCTCTTGATATACCACAAATGGCTTTGCCGCCCTGTCATTGTTTGGCACAATTCTATGTGGCCAATGGTGAACTATCATGTCAGTTGTATCAACGCAGTGCTGACATGGGTCTTGGAGTGCCATTTAATATAGCTTCATATGCTTTACTAACATATATGATTGCTCATATTACCGGTTTGAAACCAGGAGATTTTATTCATACCACTGGTGATACCCATGTTTATAAGAATCATATTGAGCCTTTGAAGGAACAACTAAAACGTAAACCTCGTCCTTTCCCTAAATTGCTCATAAAACGTGAAGTTAAGGATATAGAGGATTTCAAATTTGAAGATTTTGAAATTGTCGGCTATAAACCTTATCCAAAAATTGAAATGGAAATGGCTGTTTGAGTGGGTTTGAAGTAAGCATTATTTTATTGAATCTTAACTTTTTTTAATGTAAAATATATAAGTATTATTTTTTAAGTTTCTTTAATTTGGTTTATGGCCCCCTATTCTTAATAGAGTATACATCGTAATTTAATTCGAAAGTAGTGTCTTTCGTAGAGAATTATGAGTTAACCACCCTGAATATAATTTTTATTTTCTGTCCGAATGGTCAGTCCAATTTTTTAGTTTATAACATGTTGAAAAAAATGTTTTTTTGTACTTACAATAAAAATAACAACTTTAATCAAAAATACATGAGAGTAAAATGTTAATGAGGGACTTAATCAAAATTCTATCCTTCTCACCTTCGTGAGAAGGACCCTATAAAAAATATATAAATAGAAATGATATATATATTTGACATTAAAATATCGATCCACTTTCGTAAGTTAATTTATTAACAAATACCATATCGGGACAAAATTTTGCAACAATATGATCGGTCTATAATAAACCATAGTCTAGTCTATATCTAGTCTATCACTTTCTGAAATCAATCGAAAATAACTCAAAAATTGATTTCTCAAATTTATTTAAAAAAATTAATACACCTGTATCTATACTAAATTTTCTGGGCTATTCTGGATTTCGGCCACACCATTGGTCACGTTCACACACTTCACACCCTTTTCATTCAGCTTCTTCAAACGTGCCTCTTCCCATTCCTGGCGATGGGCTATTTTGCGATGTTTATGCATATTAGCATTTGATATAAAGGTACGGGGACAATGTGGACATGTATATAATGCTTCGCCGGTATGTGTACTTAAGTGTTCCTTTAGCTCCAGAGGGCGTCTAAATGCCTTGTCACACAAATGACAAGCATGTTTACGCTGCATAGTGTGATTGTACTTAATGTGCATACGATGAGCATTAAGATTTGGCGAAACTCTGGAACAATAGGGGCATATCTGTTCCTGCATATTTTCTTCCAAATGGCGCATTTTCATGTGTCTTCTTAGACCGTATTTGTTTGTTAGTTTAACACCACATATTTCACAGGTTACCAAAGAGGGCGTCGTTCCATCGTGTTCTTCCATGTGACGTATAAATGAAAAACGATGCCGAAATGACTTGCCACATATATCGCAAATTTTGTCATATTTCTTTTCATGCGTTAAATCTTCATGTTGACGGCGTAAATAATCGGAGGCGAATTTCTTGTCACATTGCGAGCAATTATAGTGTCTTTCACTCTCTGGCACATGGCTTAATTTATGACGTTCGAAGACGTGTAGCTTAAAATACGATTTGCCACATTCATTACAGTTAAATTTGCGTTCGCGCGTTTGATGTATTTCTAAATGGATTTCCAGGCCTCGGCGTGTGGCAAACACTTTTGCACATTCTGTGCATTTAAAATAATTTGGATCTTTATGTACTCTTAAGTGATCGATGAGTAAGCAGCTTTTAAAGTACTTTTTACCACAACACATAGTATAACCCTTAGTATTGTGTTCATTGCGATAATGCTGTTTAACTGCACGGAAATCGTCTAGAGCTACATTACAAATACAACATTCCAATTTATGTTCACTATCAGTGAAAATATCAGATTTAACATTTTCAGTAGTAGTGTTAACTTTCAGCTCTTCCTTGGTCTTATTTTGTTTTACTTTCTTTGGCGTTTTTTTAGCATCAGGGTCAAGTTTAGTTTTTCGTTTGGTCTTTTCTCGGGATTTTACTTTTCTAGATTTTTTTATGAGCTGCTTATGGCCTTCATCATTTCCTAACTCTTCCAAGACTTTTTCTTCGAAGACTTTACAATCTTCAAAATTTTGTACATCTAATGCGTCAAAGCATAAAACGTCTTTATTATTACAAATTAGATCTTCCTCCAACTGGCCATCATTATCATCAGGATTAAAGTAAAATTCTCTTTTAACTTCTAATAAATTCATATCGTCATCTTCAAGATTTTCTATGGTTTTAATTCGTTTCCGAGTTTTAATTCTTTCGCTCGCTTTGGCAGAATATTCCACTGCATTTTCCGACTCCTGTTTAACGTCGACATTGTCAGTTTTCTCTCCAGAACTTGCTTGCCCTAGAGATATGAAAATAGTTTGATAATCTCTGTGCGCTTTTTCTACTTTACAATAAAAGCTATGAAAGGTTGATATTTCCTGCCAACATTGACGACAAATCCATGGTAGAAAATCCTTGTTCACAGATGAAGGTTTTAAATACCACCACCACAAATGTTTTTCAATTATTCGTTGTATTTTTCCTTCAATCCATTCGCTGGACATAGAAGTAATACGGGAAAACATGTCATCGTCATTCGTTTCTAAACAAATTACGCAATTGTCCATTTGATGGATTTATTTTTAATAATAATTAAATTTAAGAAGAGTTTTGGATTTTTTTTGTTTGTTTTTAATTATTGTGCAAAAGGTAAACAAACTAATCAAGTTGCCAGATTAACAAAATTCCATAAAAGTCCCTTGTTGAAGAATTTAATTTATCTACGTTTGGAATATTCGACCGTTCAAGGGTTACACATTTTACATATTTTGGTACTTTTTTCATATTTTGTTTCTATTTATTGAATGAATACATAACGACGGGCTCCCTTCCCCCACTACAATATTGCAATTTTTTGGAATAAAATTACTGTTACTTCAATAGAAAAAAAAGTATCAAAATGGGTATAAACAGGATTTTTTATTCAAACTTATTGAGCCAATTTTGATAAAATTTGGACATTTGGTACATATCCTAAATGGGTGTAATTTGGAACTCCGGTAACAAGGACTATTTTTGGTACTCTTTTTATAAAATTAAACATTCTGAGCTCTGAGTAAATACAAAACTGTATGAATGATTTTTCGTACATTTTGATACTTTTGCACTCCTGAGTATATGAGAATCTATAAATGGAGATAGTTTGGAACTTTTTCATTCTTCAACTTGTACTTTTAGAAATTTCTATAATATTAAACCTGGCAGACTCCTGAGTGAATGAAAATCTATAAATGGGTACATTTTCGATCCTTAACTAGTACTTTTTAAAGATTTCATAATAATGAACCAAGATATTAAACAGGAAGAACCCTGAGCAATTGAATCTATAAAAAGGACAAAATCTATAAATGTTGACTTTTCGTTACAGAGATACATAAATGATGATGATGAAAATTTATAAAAGGGAACTTTCTGATATGTCAGATATATGTACGTATAGGTATGTATGTATATGTATATTCGCCTGATTGAAAATTTACAATAATCCTGTCTGTTCTGTAAACCGAATCCGAGTAAATTTCTCATTTAAAAACGAATTCTCGTATTTTTTCTCGTATTAAAACCGAGTACACAAATCTAGTCGAAAGTAAATCGATTTTAATTTTATTCAAATAAATTAAATAATTATTTTTTGCGTTTTCTAATATAATTGTAACTTAATATAAATGCTATGGGCATACTAAACTCTTTTGCATTTAAAATTCGATTATTTTCCGAATTTTAGGTTCAAATAAAAATCCGATTTGCACAACACCAATCTCGGTTTTGAAACCGAATCGATTTACAGAACAGACATGAATATTTATTTCCATTAGGATGAGGGTAGCAAAGCTCACTGGTTATAGCTAATTTTAGATATAATTTTCTATAAATCATTCATTAACTGGTAGCAATGTCTTATCTACATTAACGTTGTCATCCTCAACACGATTTAAAACTTTTCCCAGGAGAACATATTGTTTGTGAGCATTTTCTACTTTGCGATAAAATGTATGGAAGTTGGACAGCTCCTTCCAACATTGACGACAAATCCATGGTAAATCATTAGCTGGTGTTTGTTTCATATACCACCACCACAAATGTTTCTCAAATATTCGTTGTATTTTCCCTCCAATCAATTCACTGGACTGGGCAGTTATTAGGGTGATCGACTCGAATATCGAATAACCCGGTTTTTTCACTTTTTAAAAACCGGTTTCGAATACTTTCATTTGCTTTGTATTCAAAGATTATTTAAATTAAATTTTGAAATAAATAATAATACAGCCCGTCTAAATTTTAAAAATATTCGAGTCGAGGAACTAAGATATAATTTTCTAAAGCACTTTTTTGATTTTCCTAATTAATTAAAAAAATTTATTTGTAAAATTGATAACTGTTTGATAAAATTTTATCAATCTTAAGATTATATTCCAATTACAATAATTAATTTACGGCTGAAATATTATGGAAGTGTTGGTTGGAATGCCTATGAAAATTTCCTAAACAGGGCAGAATAAGCTAGGATTACATAGTACCTTATGTTTAACAGAAGTGTCCCACTATTTTCCTAATTTTTTATATTAAAGAAATAATGTAAATCAGACGACTAGATCTAAAGTTATAATCTGTTAAACTGTTAAAAATCATTTCGAGCCTGTTTTATCAATCAAATTTAAACATAAACATTAATTTTTTTTCAAATATATATATTTTTTTATTTATAATGAAAAACCGGTTAACCGATTTTTTCTGAATTTGAAAAATATCAACAGGTTTTTTTGAAATGTCAACTATTCGAACTATTCGAAAACCGGTTTTTGGAAAATGTCGAATAATCGATCACCCTAGCAGTTATACGGGAAAAAGAGTCGATATTAGATTCTAAACAAATTTTGCAGTTGTCCATTTGATGGGTATATTTTAAACGGAAACTAAATTATAATAACAATTTTGATGTTTTGTTAATATTAGAGTAAAAGGTAAACAATCTAACAATATTACCAGATTATTTCTTATGATGCTAGCTAGGGATAGCTTAAACCGCAAAAACATGTTAAAATATTAAATTCTGAGGCAAAAATCGTCTAAATAGGGAAATATTTCGTTTTATATATAAAAAAAAAAATAATAATAAAAAATTTGTAATAAAAATATTAACAATTTATTGAGCTATGTACATACATATGTATGTACCAGTATATTTACACTTTACAATATCAATACACAACTAATTTCCTTAAGAGCAAACCTTTAGTTATCTCACCATACCATTTCCTTCAGAACATTCTAAAGCAGTCGCAACGTCATCATTTGTGGTGGCACTGCGATTTAAATGTTCTTTAATTGTTAGTTCTCTCAATTTTTGATCATTTAATTTTTTTAATCTTGATTCTTGCCATTCCTTGGGATGGGCTGCTTTACGATGTTTATGCATATTTGCACTTGAAATAAATGTTCGCGTACAATGGGGACAAGTATACAATGGCTCACCGGTATGAGTACTTAAGTGTTCTCTCAATTCGAGAGGACGTTTAAATTTCTTCTCGCACATGTTGCAAGCATGTTTACGTTCCATGGTATGTGCATAGTTTACGTGTTGACGATGGGCATGCATATTTGGTGATACCTTGGAACAGTAGGGACATCTTTGCTCTTGTTGATTTTCTTCTGTGTGCATTTTTTTCTTGTGACGATTCAATAGATATTTACTGGTCAATTCGACTCCGCAAATATCACATGGGACTTTTTCAAGCGGTTTACCATTATGTTCAGCCATATGGCGTGTGAAAGAGAAACGTTCACGAAATGTTTTACCACAAATATCGCATATTTTTCCGTATTTATTTAGATGAGCGAAAGCTTTGTGCTGGTTCACCAAATATTCGGCTGCAAATTTCTTATCACATTCATCGCATTGAAATTTCCGATCCTCTTCGGGAACATGTGACAGTATGTGACGATCGTAGACTGCTTTTTTAAAAAATGATTTATCACATTTCTCACACCGAAAGATTCTTTCACGCGTCTTGTTCGCCTGTTTATGAAATTCAAGATGATTTTCGTAGCTCAAGCGATGCGCCAAAATACGTTGGCAAATTGTACATTTAAAATAATTTGGATTTTCATGGACTCGCAAATGATCGGCCAGTGGTCCACGATTGTAAAATTTTTTATTACAACACAGTGCATAGCCGAGAGTTTGATGTTCAAGGCGATAGTGGGTTTTCAGTTTTAGGAAATCTTTTAGGGGTATATTGCAAAGATGACAAAAAAGTTTATACTTACTTTGTGCTAAGTATTCATCATTCATTCGTGTTATTTCTAATTTTGCCCGGGAATCGATATTCTTAGTTGGAGATAGTTGTTTTTTAGGGATTTTGTGTGAAATCCTTTGAGACTTAAGTTGATGTTTTTTAATTGTTTCTTTTTGCTTCTTCGTTGTAGTTGTTTCATTGCTATCAATATTGACATCCCAATTATTACCACACGAATCATTACTCACACTATTGCTTATTTCATCATCATCACTATTTCCCAGTAAATGTTCATCTTTAACAGATTGTAATGCAGGCAGTTCATTTATTTCTATACTTTCACTAATTACTGCTGAATTGTTATTTGGATTATTTTTCTTAAACATGTCCAAAGACACCAAGTCTTCTTTTAGTGTTGTTTCTAGGGTGTTATCAATTATCTTAAATTCTTCTTTTACTGGATACAAAAACATTGTGTTAGCGACATATTCAATATTATCCTTAGTACCACCTTTAAGCTGCGGCCACTTTAGTAGATCATATTGTTTGTGTACGTTTTTTACCTTCAGATAAAATGCATGAAAGTTAGACAGCTCTTGCCAGCATTTACAACAAATCCATGATGAGCCATCGGCTGGTGATTGTTTCATATACCACCACCACAAATGTTTTTTAATAATACAATGGATTCTACATTTTTGCCACTCAATAGATTGAGAATTAATCCGGGAATATCTATCGTCATTTGTTGACAAACAAACCACACAATTATCCATCATAGTATATTTATTATTGTGATTTCAATTAGAGATTTCAAAATTAACATTTAAATTTAGCGATGGTATTTACTTATTGTAGATGCAACGATATGGATTAACATTAGGGTGCTATAAATCGACTTTCGAATAATCGAACAATCGACTTTTGTCGAAAAAAGTCGAAGTCGACTATTTTGTTCCAAAAAAGTCAATAACTCGACTATGGTCTGTGAAAAAAGTCGAAAAGTCGACTTTGTTAATAAAAGTCGAAAAGTCTGAAAGTCGAAACAAGTCGACATGTCGAAAAAAGTCGATAAGTCGAAAAAAGTCGGAAAAAGTCGAAAACTCGAAAATTGTAGAAACAAGTCAAAAATAGTCGATAATCTTAAAAAAAGTGGAAAAAAGTCAAAAATTCTACAATAGTCGGGAAAACTCGAAAAAATAGTCAAAAAGTCGATAAAATCAAAAAGTCGGAAAAAGTCGAAAAGTCGGAAAAAGTCGAAAAGTCGAAAAAAGTCGAAAAGTCGAAAAAGTCGGAAAAAGTCGAAAAGTCGGAAAAAGTCGAAAAGTCGATTATTTATAAAATACTTATAGTCGAAAAGTCTAAAAGTCGACTTTTAATTAACTGAAAAAAGTCGAAAAATCGACTTTTCATAAAATGCAAAAAGTCGAAAAGTCGACTTTTAACTAAATGAAAAAAGTCGACTTTTCGTTTCAACTATAGAACCCTAATTAACATTCCTTTACAATATAAATAATTATGTTATTATATAAATATTTGAGAAACTATTAATTTTTTTTGCTAATTTAGCTTTAAAATGTTTCTTTTCAAAAATAATTAAGCATTTTAAAACTATATTTCATAATTTTTATCATAAAATAGTTATCGATTGCTTTTGAAAGATTACTAAATTAATTTCTGTTAATTTGTTTGAAAACAACCTGGCAACCCTACTTATTAACATCAGTTTGTTTACAATTGTTATGTCTATAGACATAACCTATAGGTTACTAAAAATTACGAAAAATTAACTAAAAAACTATTCCCAAAAATGGATAATTGCATAGTTTGCTGTAAATCAAATGAAGATTTATTTTCTCGTATAACTACTCAATCCATTGAATGGAAAGAGTGGAATATACAGCGTGTTATAGAGAAACATCTGTGGTGGTGGTATTTAAAGCCAGCCTCTAGTAATGGATCAGAACAATGGATATGTCGTCAATGTTGGCAGGAATTATCAGTATTTCACAATTTTTATAAAAAAGTTGAGAAAGAGCACAAATTATATGATAAATTCTTATTATTACAAATAAAAAGTGATACTGACCAAGTGGCAATTCAAGATATTAAAGTGGAGGAGCAGCATTTTGAAAATGGATCTTCAATACTTGAAGAAAATACAATACATTTAAAGAATACGAAAAGGGGAAGAAAAAAGAAAACTGTATATGAAACAGATAGTATACAATTAGAAGAACTAAATATTGTAGAAATCAAGAGCGAAAATATCCTCCGTGATACTGTTGAGGAGCCAACTTCAGAGGAGATTTGTTTATCAAATGACAGCGCAGATAATACACAAGAAGAAAATGACTTAAAAGATTTAAGAGATTATGATAAACATGTACCAAGTAAAAAACCTACGGGGAAACGTCACACTACATCTAAGGCTGTTACTAAATGTAGAAAAGAAAGCAGAATAACTAACAAGGAGAAGAAAGCAAAATTTGTAAAGAATGAAAACAATTCAAGGAATAAAAATGACGAATTCCTGGCAGACTATGGTTTTGTATTGGCCTGTGGTATTTGCAATGACATTCTAGATTCCTTTAGTAGCCTTAAGATCCACTTTCGCGAGAAACATAACACAGTGGCTTATGCTATGTGCTGTAATAAGAAGTTTTACCGACGAGACGTTTTGGTTGATCATTTAAATGTCCATAAGGATCCGGATTACTTTAAATGCCAGAAATGTGGCAAAACTGTAACCACCCGTTACAGTTTAACAAAACATATGGAAACTCACCAATTATATGAAACTCAACAGAATTTGTTCAATTGTGACAAATGCGACAAATCCTTCTTAAAAAAAATTGTTTTTGAACGTCATGTCTTATTGCACATTCCCGAAGAAGAGCGAAAATTCCAATGTAGCATGTGTGTTAAGAAATTTGCTACAGAATATTTACGTAAACAACATATCAATCATACACACTCGAAAATATACACCAAAGTATGTGATGTATGTGGTATAACAATTTGGGATAAATATTCGTTTAATCGTCACATGGCCGAGCATAATGGTGTAAAGCCAGTTAAATTCAAATGTGATATTTGTGCTGCTGAATTAACAAATATATATTTTCTAAATCGTCACAAGAAATTGATGCATACCGTACAACAAGAGCAAATATGTCCTCATTGTTCGAAAATATCACCTAACTATGTTGCCCATAAAAATCATATTAAATACGCGCACACTTTGGAACGCAAACATGCATGTCATATGTGTGATAAGAAATTCCGTAGACCTAAAGAATTAAAGGAACATTTAAGCACTCATACTGGCGAGCCATTATATACATGTCCTTACTGTCCCCGTACATTTATATCGAATGCAAACATGTATAAACACCTTAGGCTGAAACATGAGATGGAATGGGAGAAGAGACGCATGAAGAGGGATGCAAAATCATTAGCTTGCAAAGAGTTTCTTAAAACAGTTGTATCACAACAAAGTGAAACTTGCAGCTATGAAGAAATAATGGAGCTTGAGAGCAGTGATGTTGTAAAAGATTTAACAGAATTTAACATTTGAAAATAAATATGTATATGTTTTTAGAGTTTAACTGTTTATGGTATAAAAAGTATGTATAAAAAAAGTTATAAATTTTTAAACTCAATAAATTTGCCTGTTGGGAATTGCAAAATTGTTAGTGGTTAGAGTTCTAGTCTAGTAGAGGTCGTAGGTGTATTTCTTCGCATTAATCTAAAAATTATATTAATATTTCATACTGAATTAGTAATTTCAGTTAACACTATTTAAAAATGTATATGTATCTTTATTTTTTAAATATGTATAAATATGACATTAGATCCAACTAATTTAAAAGATTGATGTAGCACAGTGTTAGTGTTGATTATCGATTGCTTTAGAATACACATCTCTAGATAACCCATATGTTTGATTGTGTTGCCAAGTACTTAAATTTGTAAACCCATTTGAAGCCCCTAATATTTCCAAATATGTATTATGAACACAAGCATTTTTTCTTCTAGATCATCCTAATACTTTTTTGGACTTGCTTGAAGATGTTTATAAATGGTAAAGATTTTACAAATATGTATGTGAAAAATGTATAACAAGTTTCTTAAGTCTCTAATAGAGACTATATTTGTATACATATATATGTATTAGGGTTCTATAGTTGAAACGAAAAGTCGACTTTTCGACTTTTTGCATTTAGTTAAAAGTCGACTTTTCGACCTTTCGACTTTTTCCATTTTATGAAAAGTCGATTTTTCGACCTTTTTCATTTATTTAAAAGTCGACTTTTAGACTTTTCGACTTTTAGTATTATATAAATGGTCGACTTTTCGACTTTTTCCGACTTTTAGACTTTTTTCGACTTTTCGACTTTTTTCGACTTTTCGATTTTTTACGACTTTTTACGACTTTTTGACTATTTTCGACTTTTTTCGACTATTTTTTTACTTTTTTCGAGTTTTTCCGACTATTTTAGAGTTTTTGACCTCTTTTCCACTTTTTTAAAATTTTTGACTATTTTCGACTTTTCGACTTTTTCCGACTTATCGACTTTTTTCGATTTTTCGACTTTTATTTACAAAGTCGACTTTTCGACTTTTTTCATAGACGATAGTCGAGTTATCGACTTTTTTGGAACAAAATAGTCGACTTCATACCCGTTAATAAAACAACCTTTTGATAAAACAGCAAACCCTAACAGCTGTTTTTGATTGTTGTGTGGTGAGTTTCTGTAAAAACGTAAACAAATGAAAAAAAACAAATTACTAGACATATTTATCTTGTGCTAAGAAAAATTTATGTATTTTAATAATGTTTTATAGCCAGTGCAAGTGTTCTTGGTGTACACCATCTACCCCAATAATAATCCCGGTTTCATTAGAATCAAGTATTTTTAAAACGGCCATATATAATGTGCAATTCATTCTATATGCCATGACTGGTTGAAAGAGTCACGGAATCCATCGGAGATCAACCTAAAAAATGAAAAAGGGGTGGATTTAACTTCTTGTTCCGTTCATATGGGACAAGATTCGAGCCTCATCGTATCAGTTCGCCAGATACCTCATTAGTGTATATTGCAGGGTCCTGGTACCCAACACAGCCTTATTGTAAACGGTCTCATAATAATACTTCGATCTTTTCTTCATTCTACGACTATGCAAGAATACAGCTATGACATATTAATGCTTTAAATGCAGCATGACTATCAACCTAAAATCTTACCAGAGACCGGCGAACAATGTGATTCCCTATTAGTTCCGTCACTTTCAAGATCGCTAAATCACCACTTGGAAGACACAACCCATCTGGGTGTCAAGGAACATTTTACACCGTTTGTAACACATTGAAATATTGGTCTAATATCCATAAAAGTATATGCTGGGATCTTATTACAGTCTAAGATTGAGTTTGTTATTGAAAATGGACAATATCGGTATACGATAAACTCATCAAGGAGCCAAGGAACTTTTACACCGAAATATTGGTCTAAAATCCATAAAAGTATAGACTAGGATCTTAGCCAATATTTGCCAAAATATTTTTAGTTGATGGAGTTTATTATTGAGCTTCAATATTCCAGTATAGCGAAGAAGAACGACAAAAACAAGTTTTATAGGAACTAAAATCTTTTTGCCAAATTTTATGAGGATCAGGAAATTATTTTACAAGATTTATATGATCCAAAACCTTTCTGGGTTGGTTCAAAATTGACCCTACCCCCATATAAGTTCCCCTTCAGAAAAAGATATTAACTCCAATAATTATAATAAAAATACCAATATAGCAAAGAAATTCCACATAAACAAGGAGTCAACATCGTTTTGTCAAATTTAAGGGGATCGGTCCATAATTTAACCTATCCCCGATATAAGGTCCACCTCGGGAAATTACTACCACTCATAACTGGCTTAAAAAAATAGCTATAAAATTCGACAACAACTTTTATATGAAACAAAATTTATCTGTTGAATTTTGTAAGGGTCGGTCCACAGTTGACCCTACCTAAAATCTCAAACAGATTATGCCATCCGATTTCTACACTTCCAACTTAAAGTTCTATATATGTTTTTATCGTGCACAAGATCTTCCGATAGCAGTTATGTATAATTTTCTATATACGGATATAGTCACATTTTTGTAAAAAAGTTTGTTGCTGTAGTACACACCCTAGAACGATGAACTCCACAAAACAAATTATGCCATCCGATTTGTATATTTCCAACTTAAAGTTCTATATAGGTTTTTATCGTGCACAAGATCGTCCGATAGCAGTTATATATAATTTCTATATACTTCCATAATAAAATTTTTTGTCAAAAAAAGTTTGTTGTTGTAGTACACACCCTAGCACGATGAAATCAGGAAAAAAATATATGCCATCCGATTTCTACACTTCCAACTTAAAGTTATATATAATTTTCTATATATTTCCATAATAAAACTATGTAAAAAAAAGTTTGTTGTTGTAGTACACACCCTAGAACGATGAAATCCGAAAAAAATGTATGCCATCCGATTTCTACACCTCCAACTTAAAGTTCTATATAGGTTTTTATCGTGCACAAGATCGTCCGATAGCAGTTATATATCATTTTATATATACTTCCATAATAACATTTTTTGTAAAAAAAAGTTTGTTGTTGTAGAACACACCCTAGAACGATGAAATCCGGAAAAAAATGTAAGCCATCCGATTTCTACACTTCCAACTTAAAGTTCTATATAGGTTTTTATCGTGCACAAGATCGTCCGATAGCAGTTATATATCAATTTATATATACTTCCATAATAACATTTTTTGTAAAAAAAAAGTTTGTTGTTGTAGTACACACCCTAGAACGATGAAATCCGGAAAAAATGTATGCCATCCGATTTCTACACTTCCAACTTAATGTTCTATATAGGTTTTTATCGTGCACAAGATCGTCCGATAGCAGTTATATATCAATTTGTATATACTTCCATAATAACATTTTTTGTAAAAAAAAAGTTTGTTGTTGTAGTACATACCCTAGAACGATGAAATCCGGAAAAAAATGTATGTTGTCCGATTTCTACACTTCCAACTTAAAGTTCTATATAGGTTTTTATCGTGCACAAGATCGTCCGATAGCAGTTATATATCATTTAATATATACGGCCATAGTAACATTTTTTGTAAAAAAAAGTTTGTTGTTGTAATACACACCCTAGAACGATGAAATCCGGAAAAAAATGTATGCAAAATTTTTTGTAAAAAAAAAGTTTGTTGTTGTAATACACACCCTAGAACGATGAAATCCGGAAAAAAATGTATGCCATCCGATTTCTACACTTTCAACTTAATATTCTTTATAGGTCTTTATCGTGCACAAGATCGTCCGATAGTAGTTATATATCAATTTATATATACTTCCATAATAACATTTTTTGTAAAAAAAAGTTTGTTGTTGTAATACACACCCTAGAACGATGAAATCCGGAAAAAAATGTATGCCATCCGATTTCTACACTTCCAACTTAAAGTTCTATATAGGCCTTTATCGTGCACAAGATCGTCCGATAGTAGTTCTATATCAATTTATATTTACTTCCATAATAACATTTTTTGTAAAAAAAAAGTTTGTTGTTGTAGTACACACCCTAGAACGATGAAATCCGGAAAAAAAAATGTATGTCATCCGATTTCTACACTTCCAACTTAAAGTTCTATATAGGTCTTTATCGTGCACAAGATCGTCCGATAGCAGTTATATATCATTTAATATATACGGCCATAGTAAAATTTTTTGTAAAAAAAAAGTTTGATGTTGTAGTACACACCCTAGAACGATGAAATCCGGAAAAAAATGTATGCCATCCGATTTCTACACTTCCAACTTAAAGTTCTATATAGGTCTTTATCGTGCACAAGATCGTCCGATAGCAGTTATATAACAATTTATATATACTTCCATAATAACATTTTTTGTAAAAAAAAAGTTTGTTGTTGTAGTACACACCCTAGAACGATGAAATCCGGAAAAAAATGTATGTCATCCGATTTCTACACTTCCAACTTAAAGTTCTATATAGGTTTTTATCGTGCACAAGATCGTCCGATAGCAGTTATATATCAATTTATATATACTTCCATAATAACATTTTTTGTAAAAAAAAAGTTTGTTGTTGTAGTACACACCCTAGAACGATGAAATCCGGAAAAAAATGTATGTCGTCCGATTTCTACACTTCCAACTTAAAGTTCTATATAGGTTTTTATCGTGCACAAGATCGTCCGATAGCAGTTATATATCATTTAATATATACGGCCATAGTAACATTTTTTGTAAAAAAAAAGTTTGTTGTTGTAGTACACACCCTAGAACGATGAAATCCGGAAAAAAATGTATGCCATCCGATTTCTACACTTCCAACTTAAAGTTCTATATAGGTTTTTATCATGCACATGATCGTCCGATAGCACTTATACATCATTTTATATATACGGCCATAGTAACATTTTTTGTAAAAAAAAGTTTGTTGTTGTAGTACACACCCTAGAACGATGAAATCCGGAAAAAAATGTATACCATCCGATTTCTACACTTCCAACTTAAAGTTCTATATAGGTCTTTATCGTGCACAAGATCGTCCGATAGTAGTTCTATATCAATTTATATTTACTTCCATAATAACATT